TCCGCCTTTGCCACGCTGCCCTCCTGTCCGCCTCACACTCCTTGTCGATGCGCTGATGGGATGCGCGAGTGCTCGAAGCCAATCAACGCTGCCCCCACTCTGATTGGCTGGCGAGATTGAGACAACGAAGGGCACACACACACGCGGACACAACACCTCGAGGGCGGACACAGACAATAGCGGGCTTGGAGCGCGCTTGCGGCAACTGCCTACAGAGCCCTTGTGAACGCACTTTCTCAGGCAGTAAAGGTTGTCCAACTCAAACCGTCTTCCCTGACTTTTGATTGGGAATCTTTATCTTGTCGACCACACGACTCTCGACACCGTAAGGCCTAATCCTAAGCCTCAAAACCGAAACGTAGCCAAAATCCTAAATCCCAATGCTAACCCAAAACCTAGCCATAACCCTAACCCTAAACCTAACCTTCAGCCTAGCCTTAACCCTCACGGGAACCTAAACCCTAACACTAACACTAAAACCTGACCCTAAAAAGCAAACCCTAATCCTAAAACTTAACCTACGCCTAACCCCAACCCTCACTTAACCCAACAACCTGATCGAAACGGGCGACCTGCCTAACTCAGTCAGCGCACACCTATTGATAACAAGCTCCCTAGACAAGGTAAACACACCTACTGATATGAAGTACCTACGCCGACAGTATCAACGTATAATGTCTGGCTACCAACTGCGATCTTACCTCTTATTTTTTCCCCAGTTTTCTCTTCCCAGACGTCTTTGACTCCAAGTTGGCCGATATCGGGAACCGTGTGGTTTCTGAAAAAAAGCACTGGGGGGAGCGAGAGACTGCTCACGTTACTAGTGGCATACACGGATTATGAAAAGTAGAGATTTGAACAATGTCAACATGACGAACGAAGCACGATTTACTGACGCCATCAGCTTTTGCGGACACATATTCAACTACTAATGATCTTAGCATATTTATGCGGGTTGTACACCAGCTGACTACAGTCCGGAGCAGTGCATGACAAAGTGTGTGCTGCGAGAACGTCCAGGTAATCCGCGAAATGAATTTAAAATTTAATTACTGCCTTGTGGAACCGGCCACGAGTGATCGCGAGTGTGTCAGCGTTGGCTGTTGGACTTATTCAATGGACACCTGTCATCAGCTGATTGGCCAGTGCATGCGTGGCTGTGGACGCCTGGGCCGACGACTGCCCCAGATCCCAGGACTGAGGGACGTCCGGCAGGAGGGAAGTTCCGTCAATGGGATCTTCACTGGCGTGCCACGAGAAAACTGTGCCTCATAAAGACTGCCGCGAGCTTATAGGGGTCCGGACGAGACATTAACCTGAGAAAATTCAAGTGAGATAGGTGACAAACAAACGCGGCATACTAACCGGGCGCGTTGGTTGACCTAGCAAGATAGTAGGAAGGTGTTCAGTGCGAGAAACTGTCCATAACAAGCCAACCGTAAGGAGTGATGGGAGGTATGCAATACTATTCAGTCCTGCTAAAGGACCTGGCCAGAGATGTGGACGGGGGAGGGGGTTGGCACGGCCGGTTAGTGCTGCCTTATATACCAGACCAATAAAAAGAATATAAACAGCTCCTCAGGTTGGATGTCCTACTGAATCGGCAAGGAGGCGGCTCCATTCGGGGATTCATGGGTGCAGACGACAATGTCCGCACTCCATGATTCTTTCTCTAATGCGGCTGAATGACAACCTAGCGTGATACCTCTAGAATCGCGACGGAGAAACCCTGACCGCTGCCAGTCGGATGTTCTCAGGCCCTGCGCGAACTATCCCAGTCAGATCGCTTAACTCTCAAAGTCAGGGGCTAGCAGGCCAGAATGGGTTTTCGTCTACTGAATGTACGCAAATAATTACCCCTGTCCAATTAACTGCTTTGTGTTGCCCATGATCTTTAGTCAGAACATTTTCCAAACAGCAGTCAAATTTTTAAAGACAAAGTGCAAGTGACACTCGGCAATGACGTCGCCCATATGTGGTTTACTGATGTCTCGTAGAGGCGCGCCATCTCTGACAGAATTGGTGTGTTTACATGCAGTTTCAGAGGTAAACATACTTGGCACACTCAGAGCCACTTGCAAACCCGGTTGGCCCATCGCTTTCTACAGTGACCTTTCAGAGCAGAAAACAAGGTACCGAAAAGTCCAGGCGCAAAGGAACTGTAGGAAATTAGTCCTACCGTAAATCCAATGTCTGTGTTTGGGGTCCGTTTTAGGGGTGTTCCGTTTCCGACGGATTTCAACAACAGCAGCAGCAATGCGGAGGCGAGAATCAGAGCTTTGTTTTTCCCACGAAGTATCCATCCCTGCAGTTAGACTAGTCCTCCTTGGGTTTGTTTATCATCTTCCACTCCTCAACTGGTGTATGTTGTTTTCGCGCGGTTTGTGCATTCAGTCGAAGACCTGTCGGGATTTGGAGGCCTTTTGACTAGACTTTCCCTGCCCCCAGCATTTCGACCTTGTTTAGGTTAACGCAGAGGGAAGGATGTTTGTAAAGTGTGTTTTGCTTCGACAGAGGAGCGAGTTTACAAATGACTCAAGGAGAGAGCTTCGGAATCTCCCTAATTATTCGTCGCGACGGTTGCCCATCTAATGAGCACTGTTTCTTGCCTGTCAGCAGATGCAGTAGTGGAATTTCAGTTGTTTTGGTCGCTCTGTCTGAATTGCGTTCTGGTGGAGACCACATCCAAGCCGGCTGGCGTTTTGGATGCGATCTACCTGATAGCGGTTCCTCGTTTTCGCCAGATTTTAGGAGGGCGAAATCATACACAATGGGAAGGAAGTACGTGTAGAAGGAATGATGACAGGTTAGGGTGAATGAAGTCTGAGTTATATCAGTGTATCAGATAATAGGGATTGTACCACAAGGCCAGCCGGCGATTAAGTTCACCGTAGAAGAAGGTTCCCTGTAATTGAAAGAGTGAGAAGGAATGAACTGTTGCACGACACCCCTTAAGACAGAGCGCAAAAACAGTATTCGAATCATAATGGCTTGATTCAACCGAACGGATTTCAAACAAACTATCAGTGATCTATAGGAGAGAAGACCTTGACTATCTGCATACACCACTTCCAAGCATTATTCAATGGCACCTTTAGACAGTCAAACCAATGAAATTAGAGAAAAGAAATCGTAATTTCGGGACGAAACACGCAGAAAACTGTTTGAAAATGCGGCACAAGGGTTTTACCTTGTGACGGGTAGGTTTGGAAATAGAGCGAACGCATTGAAAAGACCGAGTCAGTAATTGGAATGCAAAATCAATCCGAATAGACTGCTTAGCCAAAAACCTCATTTTTAAGCTCCTGTGGCTTTGAATTACTGCTGACTTTCGCGGACGGTCCTTCACTCTATTTCCTCCGTCCCATTTTCTCCAACCAACAAGGCGAAGCTTCACGCTAGGCAGAGAGAGAGAGAGAGAGACCATGGAGTCTGGGTGAAAACCATAAGTCAGTGATACAACAGTGACAGTTCGACCGTCGCAGATTGTGACATCCACCGCGCAGAGCAGCGGTGGCTTGCGCGTGAGTTTTGTAAGCGCAAGATGGACTTGCACAGCATCCACCGCACTCACCTGCCTTGCTCCGAGGGCAAGAAAATGCTAAGATGACCAGACGTGGGCTCGGACGCACTGGCTGACAGAGTCGAACAGGTAGTCGCCGCGTGCCCCACGCACGACCGGGTCCCCATTGCGTGTATCTGGCCACAGTAAAGGCATCTCTAAGTTTACAGGCATGAAAGTCCCGCGATGGCCTCACTGTGAAGGTGCAGTTGTAACTTGACTCTCAGTCCTCCAATCAGTCACTTCGACATACAATAGGTGGGCTAACTCATGAAATGTCAACCGAAATTCCGAAATGCGTTTTCGTTTCGAATAAATTAATTAAGTAGGGTTGTAAAACTAATCATCCTGCTGCATAATTCTATGATAATTCAGTCTCCCCAGGACGCCGGCCTTCGAACAGACTTCTTTCCGGCTGCATCCAAAAACGACACTTCGTAAAAAATGACTACATAAGAGGCATGCATTGTTTCATCGAGTTTCGAGGCCCTTAAAGATTCAATTATACTTCATAGAAAACATGCATAAAAATATCCATTCTTTAGGTCATTCGGTAGAAAATGATGTCTTCTTCCAATTTTATACTCCAAGGAAGAGTATACTTCGGTTTTAAACAGCCTCTAATTGTGAGATACAGTGTGTGTGATACAGTGAAATGGCCCTTTACGCCATGTCTCTGCATTTACCAATCTGGCTTGTAAAGGTAACAATGTGGCTCAAATTTCTTGCTTAATTCTATGAACCCTATATGGTCGCCCTTTATTACCGTAGACAAATGTCTGGTTTTCCGTAGGCCGAAATTATACGGTTTGTAGTTTGGGAACCCTGAATGCAAGTGTAACGGCAAGTCGGTGTCAAAATTATTCGAGAATTGGAAAAGTTTTATAAAACCAAATCATACCCTTCTTTCGAGTGTAAAATTGGAAGGAGACGTAATTTTCTACTGAATGAGCGAAAAGATGAATATTTTTATGCATGGTTCCCATGGAATATAATTGAATCTTTTAGGACATCGAAAATTAATGAAAAAATGCATGCTTCTTAAGCAGTCATTTTTTTACGGAATGTGATTTTTGGATGCAGTCGGAAAGAAGGTCGTTCGAAAGCAGGCATCCTGATGTAACTGAAATACTATAGAATTATGCTACACGATGACTGATTTTACAATCCTATTTAATTAATCTTTGCGAAACGAAAACGCGTTTCGGGATTTCTGTTGACATTTTATAAGTTGGCCCACTTACTGTGATCACGTGAGGACAGAGACAACACATCAGCTGCTAACCTTACAAGTCACGACTCTTAGCTCGTCGAGACATATTCGAGCGCACCGCATGGGCTGGTGTGCCATGGGGATGGATCCCCTAGTGCCAACATAATTCCCTCTCACCTCTTCCATTCATCGGCCAAATCGACGACAGTTCGACCACCGCGAACGATGATGTCCACCGTGTGTCCGGGACGGTGCCTTGCGCACGAGATAGTACACTGTGAGGAAAACTTTGGAGCATCTACCACATCCCTTGCCGTCATCTTCTTCATCCTCCTCCTCCTCCTCCTCCTTTTCCTCCTCCTCCTCCTCCACCACCACCACCACCACGATGAAGCGTATATCGAAGACGATCCGGTTGATTTGAGTCTTTTAGTCCTATTTCGCACGATGCTGACGGCTGAGCCTGGTTCTTGTGACTAAACAGCACGTCTACGCCCGCCGCACACGGTCCGGTGCCACAGAATGTAACAGGCTTCCACAATGGGCCGCTGGGAGCACACACGCGTTAGAGTACCGCAAAGGCTACATTGATACGGAGCCACTGAGTCTGACCGCCTGGGCTAGCTGGGTACTTGGCATTCTTCCCAACCACGACTTGTAACGCGTCATGATGGATTCCAGCACGTCAGATTTATTATAGTAAGGAATGCGCCGGTGTGCCGTGGGAATGGATGTCCCCGTGTCGAACTCACACTCACTTTTCTCCCAGTCCACTGCCCGAGCCTGTCCCATATTCCTGTCAAATGTTGATGGAAATGAATGCTGCGACACTAAAGCTAGTGACAGGGTCCAATACTGCAAGATGTCCCACCAGTGGTAAGTCCAACAGTAACAATATTGGGCAAGGATAGGTAGTGTAACCCCACTAGGCTTAATATGTATAACTGACTGCCGCAGTTGTTTTGGTAGACCTTGAGTAGTTTATCAACTCGTAACTACACGAAGTCTCCCTTTGAGTGTTACCCGGCGAGTTGTTTTAGTATGACCTTTTTAGTGATAGATTATTGAGCATGAGGTGGCCTTCGGTTTTTGCTCCCCCACTCGGTGATCCGTTGTGTCTTACCTTGATCTCCTATTTTTCCAAATGTACTTACACTGGCGTTCATTGTCGATTCCGTACACCGCGACTTACTTATTTTCTCCAAAAACAACAATTGAAACTTTTCGTGCCTTTTCGGTACTGACCATACAACACGTGTTGTAAGGATCGCCGGCTGCATGTTCGTTTACTTCCCCTCTGTTAGAACACAAACGCTTGGCCTACTCGACATCTCCACACACTCTCTGTTGTCGAAGGCGAACGCCGTGACTTATTTACTTCTTCAAGAATATTTGTGTGTAATCCTTCGCACAAACAATAGAAAGCCGGTTAAAGTTGGTTGATTTTATGTACAAAAATTTACTTACAAGTGGTCGTTAAATCGCCTTCAGGAAGGAGCCCTCTAGGTTCCCAGTTCGGTAAGCTGTTGAACCGTACATTCTTCTGGAATATGGGACAGGAATATTTCCCACGCTCCTTGAAAAAAATTTACGAGTATACCTCGATTTTCCGACGAGCCTTCTCCTTTTATTATATCGCCTCGGAATGCATACTACCTTCGTTACTCATATATATACATATATTATTTTCCCTAAGTTGCATGACTATGCAGATACAGACGTGCGATCGTACTTAAGTTATCTGACACTTCGTATTCATTAGGGTGTATTTCGATAGCTTCTCTAACATCCGTGTGCATCACGTTGCCTCGCAGTAAATTTCCGCTGTTCCACTATTTGGTATGTACTGTTCTTCTTTCCTATTGGTTGTTCATTCTGTTGGTTCCTGGCCTGCTTCAAACTTGCAAGTAGTACTTTATTCAGATAGCTCTTATTTTATTAGGGTTGCTTTTTGTTTATTTTTCAACTAACGCGCTCACCTCTGTCGTCATATCTAGGCGTAGGAGAAGAGTCTAAACGGAAATGGGTGAGATGTGGTTATGTAACCCCATCTGATGGACACAATGCTGTTGGGGTTGGGGTTAAGGTTAGAGATTAGAGTTAGGGGTTAGGGTTAGGGCTAGGGGTTAGGGCAGCCATTTTTCAACCACTCAAAGTACAACCGTACATTCCCAATAGCTTTTCTTTTGCGTACATCTACTTGACCTCGTCTCCTGTGCTTTTCCCAACCCCACCTGTAAAAACCCCTATTACCATCGGTCCCGTATTACATGTGGCTGGGGTTCGTCTACCTCAGGTGGGGCTACATAACCGCATCTGGCTCGGAATATATTTATTTTTTGTCTCTTATTGCATTCCCTTCATTATCTCTCCGTGGTGATACCTCACCCGTAAAAGTCTCATTACCACAATCCCTGTATTACACGGGCCTGATCGCGAGGTGGGGTTACACAACCCACCGCCGCCCAATATTTTTTTCATTGCGAACCAGTGATGGCATGATCAGTGCAAGAGACTCACAAAATTTCTAATCATGGAAAAGTATGCGCAGTAAGTAAAGTGTACTTCTAATAACGACCGTCATTACGTCAAACGTTAATTTACGGACCTTCACGAAGTAGAGGGCATACAGTAAACCGAAAAAACAAGCTCCTCAGTTAGCAAGCAGAGTGCCTTTTGGAAATGCTGAACTTAAAAAAGGGTTTGGGGCAGTTTAAAGGCGAGCGTGATTGGTGGCGGTTTTCTGGGCTAAATAAACTATCCCTCTGGGGGGCGAGAAGGAGCATGCGCAGCAGCGGTCTGGTCTGCTGCCAAAAGCTCCCTGTCGCACAAGGCGGCAGCACAGTGGGAGGGAAGCCGAACATACACCCCAGACGTGACGGTGGCCATCACTATTACTCTGTAGATCGGAGAACAGTCTGCTGGCTATGGCGCGAATGGGGCAGCTAGCCCCGATCCTCACCGGTTCATTTAGAGTCAAGACGAGGGGGAGAGATTTAGGGCTGTAGCACGCAATGTCGGCGAATTCATTTACCAGCAAACTATGTGGAGGGCTATCAGTGCGAGTGGGACTATCTGAATGGAAAAATGAGGCATACAAAAATGAACTCATCTTAGGGAGATAACCTTAAATGCTGAGAGGACCATTTTCAATAATTTTGGTAGGAAAGCGGAAAACAGCGGCTTAGAAGAACCGGGGTTATTTTAAATGCTGGTAAGGTAGGCGCCGATGTTACTGTAAATGAAAGGAACGTGTTCTAGGAAGTCATGACAAAGGGGTGTTTGACAGTAAACAAAAGGGTAGTGCAGAGCTGAAAGAGAGGCTGTAAATGCTGTAAAGTCGGGTCAGTGACGTGGGGGCGTCAACGATTGAAGGATGTGGACTAGAATTAATGCGGAATTGTAAGCGAGGGCCTCGTTGAAATATTAAGTTCGGCATGTTAGAAGCGCTTTTGAGTAAAAAAAAACCTAGTGAACAGGAAGCACATTATACATTGCGTGACCGATCTCATGAAATGTTGGCCAAAATTCTGCAATGCGTTTCAGGTTAGGAAGAATTACGGAAGTGGGGTTGTTATACTGATTATCATGCAGCATAATCCAGTAATATTTCGGACTCATCAGGATGTTGGCTTTTGAATGCACTCCTTTTTGACCTCCTGAAGAAACCACACTCGGTAAAAAATGACTACTTAAGTGGCATGCCTTTTACTACTGATTTTCGATGGTCTTATAAATTCAAATACATGTTATAGAAAACATTTGGTAGGAAATCACATTGTCCTCATATTTTATGTCCGAAGAAAGTGTATATTTAGGTTTAAAAAATTTATAATTATCAGATTTTTAAGACCGTGCGATGTCCATGCACGCAAGGCTGCACATGTCCGTTTTATAATGCTCCTCATGAAACGTACAACACAGTCCCGATCCATTGCAAAATTTCATGAACTCTATGGGATGTCTTCTTAAAAACATAGAGGAATATATGTACTTCCTTACGTGGAAAGCGTGCACTGAAATTGTTAAACGCTGATGCAATGGCAGATCAGGCTGAAGATTATTCGGGAATTGGGGGACTTTTTGAAACCTAAATACGCACTTTCTTCGGACATAAGATATGAAGACAATGTGATTTACTTCCAAATAAGCAAAATAAAGAATATTCTTGTGCATGTTTTCTATGAAATATATTTGAATTTATAAGACCATCGAAAATCAATAGGAAAATGCATGCTACTTAAGTAGTCATTTTTTACCGAGTGTGGTTTCTGCAGAAGGTCGAAAAGAAGTGAATTCAAAAGTCGACGTCCCGGTGAGTCCGAAATATTATAGGGTTATGCTACATGATGACCAGTATAACAATTCCACTTCAGTCATCCTTCTTAGACGGGAACGCATTCCAGAATTTTGGCCAACATTTCATGAGATCGGTCATTGTACCTGACAACAAAGGTACCAGTCAAAAGCCCAGACACTTGTTTCGCCGATATTTTGCCGCCACCTGACAAAGAGCCTGTGCTGTTAAGCATGATATACCGTGTTGTCTGTCGGCAGTATTACGCAGTTATTCCACCATGGCTAGTGGACTTCGGTCCAAATATTCATATCAAATTTCGGTCTGAGCCTACAAGTCTCAAGCCGACTGATTTACTCCAAGTTAGCGACTAATTTCTGACGAAATTAAAAAGCTGGAAACCCGTGAACATGTTCGATCTTATTCGTGTGTTCCATTAGATCCAAAGAAGACCAACTGTATTGACAGGGGAAAAACGCTATGAGACAGTCAACCACATTACAGTTCGACCGTCGTTGCCGATGATTTCCACCGTGTGCTCCACAGCGATGTGAAGCAGGCACGCCGACTTGCGCATGATTCAGTTTATAATGCATGTGGACTTGCGCTGCATCTACCGCACTCTCTCTCTCCTCCCCACTTGGTCCGGTGCCATAGTCAAGAAGACCGGAGTCTGGGGAAAGCGCAGGTGGGTGGCGCGGCCGAACCCGCACCTTAGCCGTCCGCTCCACACCGCCTGGTCCACACAACAAATGACCAAGATTTTAACCAACAACAACAACAACACCCCAACAGGGGTCAGAGGGTCGAGGGCGACTGGGCATCCATCTCCACCACCTGTGTACCCAGCGGGAGTGTAAGCGCATCCACCGGAAAATGCTCGCATACCCTTAGGCCCAGAGTCAACCACATACTACAGTGATTTCAGTAGAAGTGTGATCAAAGTGGGCAAACAGACTTTGTCCATGATTAACTATCCTGAAGAATGGTGGGACCAAGAAATTTAGCAGGGTCGGATTGCAGGAGACTGAACTTGAACGAAGAATGTTTCATCGGCCGAGTCAAACTCCATTCTGAAAAGAAGAAATGAGATCCAAGTTAATATTTTCTGTGCAGAAACCTGAAATGGCCTTAAAAATAGAACAACCCCGTAGCAGTCCGCGCCTCCCTGCTCTCCGCCACTCTGTCATGCTGCCTTCCTGTCAGCCCAACACTCCCTGGCGGTTCGCTGCTGGGACGCGCGAGGCCTGCCACTACCCTGGCGAGGGCTCGAGGCCAATCAACGCTGTCCCTCCCCTGATTGGCTGGCGGACACTGAGAGGGCGAAAGGCGCGCACACGCGCTGGGGTCTAAGCGCCTCAACGGCGGGCACAGACACAACTTTCCTCAGCAGTAAAAATGCGTAACCCAATCCTTCTTCCTGACTTCTGATTGGGGAATCTTTGTCTTGTCGACAAACCTACTTAAAGCAGTAGGGGTGAACGAATGCTTCACTGACTGCTGCTGCTGCTGCCGCTGATGGGACCCCGACGGGTCTCTAATAAAAAATTATCTATATATCTATCTATCTAATGTGGTGAAAGAATGGTAATGAGCCTCCAAGCACACAACCCGTGATCTATCCAGGGGCTTAACGCTAAGAGCCAATCACGACCCTTTGATGACTTTCTGGTGAGTATGATTTAATAAATCAAGGAAGAAGCAAAAAATGCCCCTCATTTTTTTTCCAAAAGCCGTCTTCTCGGTGCCTTGTTTAAGGCTCCACTAACGACGAAGTATGCAATTATTGCCTAGCGCTGTTCATCCGGAAGAGAAATGATAAATTTACGAATAGGTCAGCAGTAATGTTTGCAAGACCGTACTGATAAGAAACTGTGCTTAGTTGAGCTGATAAGCTGATTGACCAGGCAGAAAACAGGCATTTGATCGCTACTCCGATAACTGCTACTATTGGACAGCGAATGTAACTTACAAACAAGAAACACAATGAATTTCTTCCGTGTTTCATAGATGAAATTGCTCGGAACAGAGAGTGAGAATAAGTGGTTAATCAGTCAAGGACAGTCGGACACATTCTTGATAAGTGCGTTTGAAAGACCATCCGTTGAAGAAACGTGGGTTATTTAGAAGTCCTAGTTGCTTTTTTCTGTGTTCAGAAGAGTCACCAATACAATTAAGAAATATGTAAAATACAGACCTGTTTTCCCACCAACGGGCGAAATCAATATTCCTCGGTTGTTGATACCAACCAAATGGGCCACGAAGTGGCCGCGTTAGTAGGACCTTTGGTCAAAGCTGTGTCCCTTGTTTACAGGCATTTTAGCACACCAAAACAAAGTGCTTCGTGTCAGTGTAAATTTATCTAAAGACAAATGAGAGGACGGAATTGGGTTCGCACACGTAAACATGGACCCCTCGTCGTACTACGGGTGGTCTCGCGTTAGGTTCGGGGGGAGAGGGTACCTATTCCTGTGCCTGACGAACAACCTAACCCTGACCCATCTAGCACCAGCTCCAACAGTAACCTTTATAATCTTAACCCTAACATCCCCCTCTCCGGAATTCATGACAAGGCCACCTGTAATACGGGGGTCCATACTCCTGTGCCTCACCAGAATCGCCTCAGACTCGTAAGTAAGACTTTTGCTAAAGAAAATATCGAAGAACTCTAATTTCTAAGAAACATCGGTGATGAAGTTTTCATTTTGACCTAGCACAGGGAATTTTAATGAGGAGGACCCACTAGGGCATTGGTTTATGATGGATTTCACAGCATCCCGCTTGTGAGGCACAAGCGTCTCCTTTCGCTTACGCATACCGATCGCAACTTCGAAAATACTTTGAAAAAACTGCGTGATCCCTGGATGGGCGGGTAAAGAGCTGGTGGTAACTTTATCAACCTTTTCGATCTATTGGCGGGTCGGAGAGGGATAGTAGAGGCAGATCAGTTGCCTTTTGTGCTTCTGCGTGGTAGCCTCTGACGTGAAGTTACGAGGAAAGTCTACCTCAGTGCCGGGGAGGAGATTGGGACAAACTACTTATTGAAATTTAAGTGAGTTCTGCTAAAATGACAAGTGGGGGCTGTCAGTCGACTAATGCATGATCACTTTCGAAAGAGTTGTACTGGAAGTCAATAAAAAGGAAAACGGTTTCACTGCTATAAGTCATATTGATGATTACTGCCAGTCTATGAGCGAACCGACTGTGATAAATTACTAGCTCAGTCAAGTTAAAAACAGATCTAGCATCCAGTACAGCAGTAATTAACGTCGTCCATTGGAGGGGCCTGCGGCCTAAGAAATTCGTAAATGGATATGACATCCGAAAACGTTTCTTTTCATTTACGCTAGGAAAGACGAGTTTTCGCTTCTGCCAGTCGCCTCAGGCATTTGTGAGGCAATTTAAAAATCAATTTAATAAATGAGATTCAACTATTAGTTACACTTCAGAAGAAGAAGAAGAAGAAGAAGAAGAAGATGAAGAAGAAGAAGAAGAAGAAGAAGAAGAAGAAGAAGAAGAAGAAGAAGAAGAAGCGAACATTGGAACAAGAAGCTTATTGACCCGACGTTTCCGATTCTCACTCGAACCCATCATCAGAGAAAGTTGTAACCGGAGATGTAGGAGGGTGGTTCGGATCTCAACTGAATGATGGAAGACATACAGGTCAGATTCGGAAGAAGCAGTTGGAACTGACTCTCAGTCCGCCACCCAGCCACCCCACGTATACACGCACTCATAGCTCTGGCTACGAAGACCGAGTTATTACACCATTTGCCAGCCTTCCGATCCCCGACTTCTGGAACGTCGCGATATATTCAAGAACACCAGAGTTATTTTAGTGAAAAGTGTGTTCATCTGTCATGGGGAGGACTTCCTCAATGTCGACGTCATTCTCCCTTCACTCTCCCATGCACTAGTCGATTGTCCAAGCCTGTCAACTAGCTAATGTATGGATTGAGCCTGGTGGCCGCCGACAGAGTCATGACGGTCCGCCTACGCATGCCCCACACGACTTGGTGTGCAAGCCATGCGTCCGGTACAGCAAGGAATATGCCTCCCACTTGCTCTAGAGGTGTATGTTCTGTGCAGGTGGGCGGACCTATTTGTGGTCTGGTAATGTCTGGGATGAGGGGGAAAATGTACAGTACGTGATCGCTCCCATGAAATGTCGGTCGAAATCCTAAAGTGCGTTTTCGATTAGGAAGGATTACTTAGGTGGGGCTGCAATGGTGATTATCATGCGACATAATGTACATTTATTGGTACCGTCCACATTCCAGAAAAGTGTCAGCCGATCGCCCTTGAAATTATGTGCGCGCTTGTCCCGGTTGCGTGCTGCCTGGGCATAGCAACACGCTCTCGACAGCGTCCTTCCATTGGCTGTGGCCACAGCGCTTCCTTTGAACCTGATTGGTCTGCGTCCGTGAGACGTTGCTCAGCCCCTCTGGCTCTTTCTTTTGCAGCGGATTGGACGGAAATCTAACCAACCTGAACGGGATGCTGTAAATACAAGCAGTTTTTCGGTGAAAGCGGCTTGCAGATTTCAGTACACTTTGTGGTGGCCGATTGTGTTTTGTTTGTCTGCTATGTCGGTGGTTTGGGACAACGGTTGAGCGCACAAACGTGGTTCGTCTTATTAACAGGCGCCTGGTCGGGTCACAACAAAATTACACTTCTGGCTAGCGAATAGTCATACGGAGACATTTTGAGTCAAATTTTCCACAGTTAGTAGTGTTAAACTGAGATCTTGCAAAGCAATTCGTGATGATGACATCATAGGGGAGTACACACTGGATTGAAGCAGAATGTGTCGACCCTGATCTAGGGGGAGCAATGATGGTAAAATGTGTTTGGATCGTGTTTTTGGTTGAGGCGTAGTGATGTGTAGTTAGGGCGGCATCGCCCGCAGTGGGGGGAAGGTCGCATCATGCAAATGGTGGCTGCTCCTCACGATCCTTAACTGGGACCCAACACTCATCTGCGGCTTCCAGCAACTAGGCTCCTCCTAGTGGTCACAGGCCTGGTATTCACCTCGATTGTCGAGCTAAACCAGATGAGGGTATCCGGCAATTCTGCTCCCATTCCAATCCCTCCCCTCAGACGCGATCCTGGCCGAAGTTTACAAGTACGGCGGCCCGGGTTGGTAGACGAAGTTACAACAACATTCCAGGGGATGTGACATCGGTAAAAGGTTCCTCAAGATTTCAAGGCCGCCACACTCGTTCATCTCTGAAAGTGGAAATGGTGTGCCGAGGCGCCAGACTATCTTGCCTTTCCCTACCTGTTCCTCATTCTTGAACTTACTGGTTGTTTAACTGAATGGAATGAACACAACTCGACGCGACGCGCTTGGCATGAGTGGGATTGTCAGGTCGTTTGACTTTTGATTATTAATTCTTCCATAACTCTGGTCTTATCCTGATTTTTATAGTCTGGGATTGACGGTTCTGTCTTTAGCGTTCGCCACAGTGGTGACCCCTTGACGTTCACGCTTATACCTTTAATTAGTCGACTTCCAATTTGCATACCGCCCGTTTGCCTTCTTTCTTTCTACAATTATGTCCTCTACGAATTCCAATGATCCCACTTCTTCTCTCAGTGGACTTGTTTCTTCCCTCCCAGACTTTTGGCAACATGCGCCAGAACTTTATTTTTTCCGTATTGAGGCGACTTTTCACTCCGCCAAGATAACACGTGAAACCGACAAGTTTTATAAGCTGGTCGAGGCCCTCCCTCCCACCATTCTTTTTCAAGTGCAGACGCTTCTGAGGGATCCCCCGACTGATGCTCCTTACACCAAGTTAAAGGCTGAACTTCTTCGCCTGACATCAGTCTCCGATCGGCAGCGTTATCACGCACTAGTAAAAGAGGAGGCCTTAGGTGATCGCAAGCCGTCGGAACTCTTGCGTCGC